TTGCACTTCATGAGGTCCATTTGAATACCCTATATTGTGGAGTTCAATTTTACCATTTTCTTTTGGATACCATCAAGTTCAGTTTTGTGGTTTGCAGTTATAGTTCGTTCCAGTTTTCCAACTTTTTCTCTATGTTTTTGTTCGACCTCTCCAGCTTCGCTCTGATGACTTTCACGATTTTTTCATGAGTGAATACGGAAGATGTGATGCTTGAACTTACCGCCAAATACCACATGAAAACTCAGCCTAAGGTTAGTTTGGCCAATCAGGAGCTGCGCGTACAGAACCAGTGGAGTAACGTCATCATTATTGAGCTGGCTTCGATCCTGAGACATGTATTTGCAAATGAATGGGAAGAGATATACAGAATATCAGAAAAATTTGAGGAAAAATTAAAGTGAAATTCACAATAGAAGAAAAATTCGACAAAAATTGAAGAAACTGAAGGAAAAATTGAAATAATTAAATGAAAATTCAAGGAATTTAAAAGAAAAAATAGAGAAGTTTAAAAAAAATTAAAGGAAAAATCCACCGCATTAGAAGAACTGCGAGAAAAATTGGCTGAAATAGAAAAAAAACTTAAATATGGATACACGGAGTTAGAAAAAAAGTTCCTGAAAACAACTATACCAGAAAGGATCGATAAGCAGCTTCTAGGAAAGTAGGATACTATGACCATTTTTAAAGAAATTATTGATGTCAAGCTGGAACATCCCCGTTCCATCGAAAGTACTCACAAGTCTACCGCAGTTCGATAGGAAGACATCATGGACTATCTTCTTCACACAATTCGAAACAGCCGCAGGGATTAACTCTTGGACATCAAAGGAGAATGCTACTGCGTTTATCTATACCGTGCATTATGGTGCTGAGAAAATTTTGAATATACTACCTGAACAACTAAAGGACTTCCAACTGCCAGGCGCACTTAATATCAGTGTTCACGACCAACATAGAAACCGGCTTCAAAAGAATACGAGGCAGTTATCACAAGACTTATTTGTATTTCGTATCCAAATGATACCCTGGAAAAGTTAGCGATCGATTCGTTCATCCATGGATTGAGGGATGATGCCATACAACTGCGACTTCAACTGGAAAAGCCAAGAATTTTTGCTGATACATTGGCCCAAGCACTGGAGTATGATGTCGTTGAGCAGGCGTCCTAGAAGCAAAGCAGACTGCATGGGCTACTCGAGGGGTACTTTGTGGCGAGGCAAACGTTCAATAAGGAGCAGGAAATCCCAAGTTTATTTGTACTAACAAAATTGATAAAAGGCCGATGTGACAGTGTTTATCTCGCGGGATGGATAAATTGGAAACATTGTTCGTTTCTGCTAAATATACTGGAGCAAGCAGAACAAGTATAAAACCCAGAATATTGAATAAGTAAGCTTTGTCAACCCAATGGAAGCTTCATATCGCAACTGGAGAGCTCGTAGTTGTCTATGAGATAATAGAACTACTGACCACCCCTTGGACGTCGCCGGTAATTTTGGTAAAGAAGAAGAATGGGTCAACACGTTTTCACGAAGACTACCGCCAGTTGAACAATGTAACGTAACAATGTGGCCTAGGGAATAAAATTTGTAAATCATCATTATAAGGTCGTCAGTCCTAAGACTGGTTGGACACGTACCTCCACTCTTTAACCAAGACTTATTTAACGTTGGAATTAAGCGAATAATTGTTTATGATGAATTATAAAAAGACGAATACAATAATTCCATAAATATTTACAATAATTCATCTTAAACTTACTGTTGTGTACCTCTGACACCAAACAGCTTTTTATACGTGTGTGTTGAGACGAATTTATTATCAAGATGGAATTAAAAACGGAACACCAACTATAACAACTTTTATTCTCTAATTCTAGTTTACAAAATATCCTAACATAGATTTAATATCAAACGAAGGTAATTCTAATACTTCTAATACTGTTATTAATTTGGAAAGACAAACCTTTTATAGTTACAGATAATTGACATCACAGATAAAATTGTCATTATGTTTTGGAATAGCATTTTCTATCTTTATTAAATATTGTGAATAACTATCACTCTGGACTCTGGGAAAGGCAAACGTTAGTATTTATCAATTAATAATTTGGACAAATAACAGTCTTGANATGTGTTCGACTTTCTTAGGAAGTGGTTTGGAGAATATACCTAACTTACGTAACTTCTTTTTATGAATGTTCACCTTTTTATGAAATTTACAATCTATAGATAAAAACATCTTCCTTTGAAAATCGCTCCATTTTTTGAATTCTTTTTCACTTAAATTATAAGTTAAAGATTTAAATAAATTATACGCCTCTATTTCAAGTAGACTACGTTTTGAGTACAAGAAATCCAATTCTAAATCTAGCCACTTACGCTTAGCAAAAGTGGTTATTTTTTCAATAACTTTACAGTTCTTTGAAACTTTAATATTCATAAACTCTGGGAAAAGAGAGTTACGTTTACAGGTTTTTAAGAATTGGATATCTGCACCAATTAATCTAATCTTACAACTAAGTTTGTGATACCTGTTTAAATCCGATGACCGGGAAGCCATGACGAAATATGAAGATTGGAAAAACTTTGGCGGTTGTTGTAGAACAAACAGAATAGCTCAAAACCCCAACGCCAAAACACGACACTGTAGTTGTCCGAAGCACTTTCACTTCAGTCCCGGAACTATTTGCGAACAGTAATCTAATCTAAGTCTACCTCTACCCCTCTTACGTCCCTTTTTTGTCTCTAATGTGTTTCTTCATGCCTGAGAAATTGTCCTACCAACCTATTTCTTATTGATTTCCGTAGAGTCCTCTGTTCTCTTATTCTGTGTAATAACTCTTCATTTCTAACCTTCTCTATCCACGGTATCCTCATCATTCGCCTATAGCGCCACATTTCGAACGCTTTTAACCTTTTCTTTTCCGTCGCTCCCACTGTCCATGTTTCGCACCCGTACAGCACCGCGCTCCAAACATGCGCCTTTAACAATCTTTTTTGATTTTCTAAATTAACCGTTCGTGAATATAGAAGTGACTTCTTTTTATTAAAGGCGACTCGACCCTACGCTACCCTCTGCTTTATATCCTTACTACCTCTTCCGTCCTTACTTATCTGACTTCCTAGATACCTAAAATCAGTCACTTCTAATTTCCTCCTATTCACTCTTTCCCTACTTTTTCTTCCACTGCATACCAGTATTTTTATTTTACTTTTATTTATTTTCATACAATTCTGTTTTTTCAATACCGCTCAAGTATATTTTTAAATAATTTTCGTTATATGCCATGTTCATAAAGATAGTATTTTAAAATTACTGGATATATAATCACTATGTCAAAAATTTGTTGATAAGCTACCGTATTGGCAAATTGTATTTGGAAAGTATTCTTTAAAATCTAGTGAATGTGATTAAAAGTACATATCTCTAATTTCTTAACTTAATTTTCCATTCATAGCCGAATAAAACCTGAAGATAGTTGAGAGCAAACCCTAAACAGTTACATAAAACAGTTATTTTTCCTTATTTACCTTCATTATGGTCAAAAGGATTTTAATAAACGTGTTTTTTTGATGAGTGAGGGTGACCCCCATGAGTCAGGGGGTGCCCAGACAGGACCGGACCCCTTGTTATTGCAGTCATAATAATTTGCACTTATATTCGGCTCGAAAGACCGAGTTTTTATTTATTCTGCGCTGACGCATCACCTCTCTCTCTCCTACGAGGAAGAGACGTGTAACGTGTAACTGCATTTCTTGATATACACGCATACACGGTAACTACCGCAAATTCATGCAAACCTCAATTGTTCTTTCTCGGGCAGCCGCATGAACTTCCAGCTCTCCATTCTGTCGATGTTGCACTTTTTCTTCTTAATTTATGTTTATTAATCTGTTGCTAATCTAAGACCAAGTTCATTTTTAATAATTAATATTGTATTAATTGAAAAATGCTTTTACTTGATTCCTTAGATCAAAATGTTGCGGTGTGAAAAGATAACACAAACGATATTAAGTATTTATTTTTGACGTGACAACGTCTTATAATTCGATGGAGCCGGCTGCACTCACGAAAAAACATGACTCATGCGGCGTTACCTCGCTCTGAGGCGTTCCATTTAAGGCTTAAAGTGCAAGCGAGAGCGCGGAACGAGCGACAAAGAGGCACAATCGGCCTCCGCGTTCGGCAGCGTTCGACATCTGTCTCTCTCCTACTTGAGTGAGCGATGCGTCCGCGTGGACAGCTGCTATACAATAATACATTTCCATTTACCTCCTTCTCTATATCCATACAAAATATCTATCAAACAAATAAAATTAAAATTTTCTTTTGAAAAATGAAACCATTCCATCAGTATTTTCTTATGTCGTTGTCACGTTCAACTATCGTCAGTAAACCGTCTTTACAGACAACCGATTTTTTTGAACATATTGTTAATGGTACATTGTGCGTCAATTTGAATGTCTTACTTGATTTTAAATGCACTTCTATATAATTTCATACCTTGTATGTTTAGTATATTATTTACCTAATCCGATTTTCTTGTAAATTTCTACCTGAGTTTCATTTGATTTTCACACGCGTAAACTTTAGAACGTAATATTCTGCAGCTAGTTAAGGTGAGAATACGTAGTACAATTAATGTAAATTGTATATTATCAATCTGTTAAAATTGTATGTATTGCAGAACTTCAGTTTATCCAATTTTTTTCTGAAAAGTCAATTGGCGTTTATAGCGCCACTACATTTGTTGATTCTTTCATCTATGCTCTAGTTTTTTCTATCACAGTTATTTATATGTTGACAGCGTAAATTGACACAATTATGGATCCATATGAATCTATGATTTTTGTGCATGTACAATCTTGTCATCTTGCCATTTTGTATTAAAAACGACGCTACGTCGCCATTTTTAAATTTTGTAATTTTATTGCTTTTCAGTGCGTTTTAATTATTTAATAGTGTAATTTATTTGTTTTTCTTATCCATTTTTACAGATTGACGATAAATAATAGTGGAAGAGTTCATTTTGATGCTATCAAAAAAAACGTCTACTACGGTGTAGCTGTTAACTTTTCATCGTGGAGGAGTTGTAGTTAATGAAGGTGAGATACATGCTGTAATTGTATCGGTAGATACAGAGATTAAATGCATTGCCGCTTGACAGTATTTCATTTTACAGAAACATTATAAAAACTTTGGATGGCATTAAAGCAGTGATTGTATCAGTCCTTATTCGCTCCAGAGCATAGCTGTAAATATGGTGCCGTAGAAAGCACGAAGTGCCTTTTTTTTCATTGAAAATGGAGCAGTGTACCATTGCTAAAGGAAAGATTTATGACAATGAACTGGTAAGTAACAGTATCAATTAAAAAGAGTAAATGAGGTCCCAGAAATTTCAATTTCTTAGATATTTGTAACATACTTTCGGTAGACAACTTTTAAACAGTTTTTCAAAAATGATGGAAACAGAATAGCAGAATTAACGAGGAATTGACCTTTCCATCAGTGTTGAAGTTTGCTGCCTAACTGTACCACCATATGGGCACATTAAAATATACCTGATATGATCTACTTGTTTTAAAAGTGGTAATTAATTATATTTTCTTGTCCATCTCTATAGATTGTCCAACAAATAAGATGGAGTTATAATTAATTTTGATGTTACTGAAATCATCAGTGCTTTTGATGTCTTCACATAATGCAGTTAATTTTGAGCATGTGAGAGAGAAGTAACTAGAGATTAATTTGGAAACCACTGAAACAACAAATTTGTCTGCCGTGGTAGCCCTGGTGGATTTGGCTATAGTTTATTAAGGTGACAATGCATGACAATATTAATTGCTCTTTATTAATCTTCTTTTATGGTATTAACAATTCTTGTCCATAGCATAAATTGAGATTAAAGTGAATCTACGGCATTTTAGCAATTATCTATTGTTCTCAGCAGAAGTTGGGGGTTATTACACATCTATGGTGTTGCCCTTAATAAATATCTATTGTTCACACCTTAAATTGACCTCATTCATTTATGATTATTTGTCATTTATGTAAATTGACTGTTGTCACCATTTTATAATTCAGATATTTTACTGCCTTTTGCTACATATTTTTAGCTGTTTTAATGCCTTCCTCAATGAATAGTGTAATTAATGTGTTTTTTGTCAATTTGTGCAGATTGCCCAACAAATGAGAGAATTACAATTCAGTTTGGTCCCACTGAAACAACTAATGTCTACATGGGTGTGGTCTTTCATGAAGTATATTCTTGATTTGCTGTTTTTGTCTTCGTCTTCCAACATTATGCAGTCAATTTTCAACCGACGAGTGAGAGCAACTGGAGATTTATTCCAATTCCACTGAAACAACAAATTTTCTGCTGGCATTTCTCCTGAAGTTGGTTTGCTTTTCACACCTGCAAACTTTGAAACATTATGTTCTACAGTTATTTAAGGTGAGAATACTTGCTATAATTAATTCTAATTGCTCTTTATTAATCTGTTACCACCGTATCTGTTTCAGATCGACGTTGGAGAAGACAGATGACCCCATAGTTAAAGAGTTCTTTATCTTGCATGCTCTATCTAGTAGAATTCATTAAGTCAATTTTATTCAAATTAATTTTTTAGTTTGCATGTTTTTTTGTAGTTAATTTGAATTATTTTGCATGCTTATTTTTGTTCATTTTATTTGAAGTAATTGTTGAATTTAGATGTTTTTATTTTTTTTTTGTATGTAGTAGTAGTGTAGTAGTAGAAATAACACGTTTAGTAGTTGTAGTATAGTCTAACCTTGCTTACCTCTTCGCTTAGCTTACTGCATATTCTT